TTCTGCTGCATCTGGTTCTGCTGCCTCTGCTGCATCGGGTTCTGCTGCACCTGTTTCTGCTGCATCAGGTTCTGCTGCCTCTGCTGCACCTGCTTCTGCTCAGCAACAACTGACCCTTTACCTTGAGTTGCGCTCTGATTCTTAGTGCCACTGCCATCACTGTTGCCAATGACCACAAGACCAGGTCGGTTAGGATACACACCACGAAACAAAGTGCAAGAGGGTTGGGTCATTGATGCTAACTTGCTATCTGTCTCTCGTTCTTTCAATGGAAGGGGTTTGCAGGTTTCAGGCGTATAAACTGTTCTGTCTCTGTCTTTACTTGGCATAGAAGAACTAACGATTGTTGGAGGTGTCTGGTTTGGTTGGGTCTTCAATCGCTTTGCTGGATCAATGCATGGGGGAGCAAGTGAGCTCTGGATTGAATTGTATGAAGAGTTGGCGACAGAGCTACCTTTCTTTTGAGGTGGTTCTTCACTGTGGCTGCTATTGTTAGTGTTCACTAACAACATACTGCCACTCCCACCACTGTTTGCACTTCTGCCACTATTTCTTCCCACCTCATCCGCAGCCCCTCCAACATATTTGCTAGTATGTCCATAGTCAATCACTTTACTGGGCTGGAGAACAGCAGAGGACCCTCCAGAACTATGGTCTCTGCCACTGACTCCTCTGAATGGCTGGGGTTCAGGATAGGGTTTTGACTCAACTGCCGTCATAGCCCTACTGGTCTTCTGAATGCGGATTTGCCGCAAGATGAACGGAAGTTTGGCAGGGGTGAGCTGATCCTCAGGGTATTGGACGAGATATTCCAAATCCTCTCTTTCAAGTCCAAAATTTAAAAGGATGCTAGAAGCAGATTCGGAAGTGTACATGGGGTGAGTTGTCTCAGTCGGAGCTGCAGGTTTGTCTGGCACACGATAGTCATAATCACCTAATTCTGGAACGGACTGTCCATCACGCTGTCTTTCACTGGACGCATTAAACGTACTGCCACCGCTCGTGGTACGGCGACAAGAAGCAGGTGATGAAAAAAAATTCGAGGAAGAATCTGCTGTTGATCTTTCGTAGCACGGCAACCAGTCCAAGGAGCTGCTTCTACTTCCAACATCAGAGTGTCTGTGTCCAACAGAGGCAGAGGACATCTGATAGGAAGTTGTCCCTGCGCCTGAGGAGTGAATCTCATCTCTGTGAGTGTGGTTAAAGCGAGTGCTCTGGCCTATGGATGTCCCCTCTTCTCTGGCTCTGCTAATATGCGAGTTGACAGACCTCTGTATGTCCCCTATGTTCATTCTGGCCGGACCCTGTTCAGGCCTGTAGTTCAGCAGTGATGGGATTTTTCCACCGTGGTTGGCAGGAGTTGCAGAAGAAGTTGCAGAAGAACAGAAGCTGGACCCTGGTCCCAGGACATTGGTTGCCCTCTGAGGGTCCCTCTCTGCCTGCACACTAGAGAGTCCATATGGCCCCTGGGTGGAACTCTGGTTCCCCGAGTCGTACGGGTTATAAAGGGGATGAGACATGGTGTTTACAATCTTAAGAAGGTCAAGGAGGTTGATGGATGGGGCAGTCCTGGTCCACAGCAGGTCCAACAGTGGAAACTGGGCTTTCAGATGAGCCTGAATGACACAGTCTGCTCTTCAATCAGGAGCAGGCTCCCTGCGAGCCCTCCGAGCAGGGGCCTCGTAAGGGCCCTGGAGCAGGATAAAGGGCACAACGCTCCAATAGCAATGCAAAGCTGAATTTTAAAAAAAGAAAGGAAATTATTAAACGAGACTGAACATCGGCGTCTACGGTAACATCCATTATGTGGAAGGTCTCGTCTTCTCCGGGGCCTCCTGCCAGATACGCGTTCACTCTGTCTATCTGTCTATTACATCTCCTGGGCTTCACTAGCAAAGAAGAAGAGGTGAGGAAAGTCCGACTCTGGAAGAGAAACAAACTCATTTATTTCCTTTGCAGGCTCGACCCCGGTGGAAACAGTCGAGACAAGCACAGACTGACAGAGAGGAACAGTTTCCATTTCAAAACATACATTTGACTGACCCGTAGGATGAGACCCATTGGGAATCACAGGGTTTATGAAATATCAAAGCTACGGAATGTGTTATATATGTTAATAACAGGTTTTAATGGCAGACTTCTCTCTTCTCACTTCGTGAAAAGAACAACAACACGTGACAGTACACTGAGGAGGACTCAAAGGATCATTCTGTCCCAACGACTCGTTCGGAGACATTTAGACATTTTTAAAACACAGGATTTATTGTCTGAAAACACCTTTCGGCTTTGACGAGCACAGAAGTTCCCCCCATCCACACACACACACCTGAGCTAGCTCCTGCTGCTAGCACCTGCTAACGCCGCGAGGCACGGAGACAAACGACCGCAGAGACAAGCACCGAACACGGCGAGTGTCAGCGGCCCCGCGGTTCTCTAACGCAGCTGCGTTGGGTTTCATACCTTCACTTCATCCCTCTCTTTCTCTCGTTTTTCGCTTTCAGGCTCAATCTCTTCTGTCCGCCATCGACACCCGGAAGTTTTAAGATCGTGAAAGACTTCCGCTTTGCTTGTTGAGCCTTCAGAGTAAAAGCGCCAGTGCTGGATTTATTGTCAGACCTTATTATTGGGTTCACTTGGATTCTTATTTGTCTTCTTATGAATTCATTTCTTTTCAGTGACTTAACATACTCAAAAACTCACAGGCGCAACAAGTCTCGTAAAAATGTACGAATTTTAATGTGCTCAGGATATCGATTCTAAAGAATTACTCAACGGCGCCCCCTACAAAATTATTTTCACATCGTAACAAGGTTCGAAATCCTCTGTCCTTAATCGTCAACGAGAGCAAAGCTACCAAACCCCCTAAAAACAGGGGTCAGGAGAGCCTGACGGAGTTGGTGAAGGTTTTCAAAGTAAATAAATATCCGAATAATAATTACAAAAAAAAAAAATTGAATTCAGTTACTCCCTGGATTTTTCAAATTGCCAAGTTGGAAAGTCTTTTTAAGCGTAATTAAATACGAAAGCAAAAATAACATGGATGTCTCAAAAAAAAAAAGTTGAGTTTTATTGTTCAGAGCTTTCAAATACATCGACAGTAGGAAAAAAAAAAACCTTATTTGTTATCATGGTTTCTGCTAATATCTTGGTTTTCTGATTCTTCCAACATGACTTGAATGCACCAGAACTTTCAGAGTAAAAGAAAAAAGCATCTCTTTGCCCAGAAATCCTCGTCCCAAAGATTTCCCAGAAACTGATGTTCGCACCGCTCAATCATTCAACGATTCAAGGTCAACCGGACCAAACTTTAATCACATTTCCAAAAACAGTTCATAAATGAACATGTGAATTAATATCATCATATATGCCCTGGATAGTGCAACAGCTTAATGTAAATCATCAGAGTGCCAGGTAAACCTCCAATAATCAGAAACCTTCCCTGTAACTCAAAAAGTTCATAAATCTCCTCTGTGGACCAACCATACTAAAAAAGATCAGCAGCTGAAGTCTGGATCAATCAGAAAAGGAAGCTTGAGGATTTTCCGTTGACCCTTTTCTGGGTTCAGGTTGAAGCTTCTGGTAGTACTTCTGAAAAAAAGAAAGTGAAATAAATGCACAGTGTGAGGCCATGTGTGTTTTTTGTGTTATATTTTGTGTGTGCGTTGGTGCGTACCTGCAGATTGTCGTAGTGTGTCTGGCTGCTACAGTGCAGGTCCTTGGCGCTGCTCTCGTGCAGGCAGAAAACATGGCAGAGATTACAGAAGTACCCCAGTTTGGGGACCAGAAACTCTGGACCTGATGGGAAACAGAAAATGTAAAACTAAATATCTTAAATCTAACGCAATGGATATTAAGTGAGATTGAGTGCGAGTGTGTTTCTCACCGACGGGGCTGCTGGGACTGAATGGTGGCAGTTTGATGTCGGTGGACATGGAGGGAGACACAGAGCGAGATCTCTTTGCCTCAGGTCCGACAAGATCCCCCTTCCTTTTGCTCGGAACTGAAGAAGAGGCAGAGAGAACCGTTAATAAATCATCTGTAATGATTAGTCAATTAATTAAGCAGCAGATAATAACCAGCAGTACTAAAGTCAAAAAGAAAGAACAAGATCAGGGATCATCATCACACCAGCTACATCCATAGGCTGGGCTCTCTGTACCTTTAACGTCCTCCGTGCACCGTCCTTCTATCTCCTCCTCTCCTTCAGGCCTCTGGTTCTCAGGGGGCTCAGGCCGCAGGTCCTCCCCAGCAGAGGCAGCATCGATGTCCGAACGGCCTGCTCCTTCTACCTCTGCCTCCTGGACCTCTCCCTGGGTGTCACCCGATAACGTTGATGGATCTTTGTGCAATGACGACGAGGCGTCGAGAGAAGTGGGAGGTGGAGCTTCAGAGCCTGATTCCTGTTGTTCTTCTCTCACATCTTTTGCAACAACTTTCTTCCCTCTGGTAGATTTTCTCACTGTGGTAAAAGATGATGAAGTAACGCAAATGAAACAGTAATAGCCGAATTCATTTCATCTTTTAGATCTTCATCATCGTACAATTATGAAATGATGAAATTATATTTTTAATTTTTAAATCTTAGATCTTTGCCTCGGAGTAATGGCATGTTTAAAACAACGTAGATGTTTGTGTTACCAGGCATCTTTCTGGTTCTCTTCTTGGGTCGGCCTCTTGTCCTGGGAGCTTCCTTCTTTTCCTCCTCCTCCTCCTCTTCCACCTCTCCCACCTCGTCCACCGTCACAAACTTCATACTCTCCTCTAAAAAAAAAAAGACAAAGAACAAAAGAAACAAAAATTGAAATTCCCCAAAACTGAAATTCATACACTGTAACTTATAAAAGGCTCCACAAACCTGTATCGTCATTGATTCTGCGTTTCACAGGTCTGGAGGTTTTCTCAGCTTCCTCTTTGTTCCCCTCCTCATCGTCACCTGCTTCATCCACAGCCTAAAAGAAGTCAAGAGATCAATAGCGTCAGCAAACTTGTGTTATGCTGTACATGTGATTTCCCTGCATAAGAAAACTGAATTAACATTTTGTAAATTCGTTACCTCCACTGCGGGGTCCTCTTTGATGGGTGGGCGGGTCTCCAACGTTCCTTCCTCAACTTCTCCCTCCGCTGCTTCTACGATTTCATCCAGAGTGACGAGCCCCTGCAGTTCTCCTGCTGTGATCTCAACGTCCAGCTCTCGACACTGTGCCACCGCTCCTTCCCCTGCCTCATCTGCTCCCACCTCATCCAGAGTCACCAGCTCTCTGGGGTCCCTCTCTTTTCCCCTTTCCTTCGCCTTCCACCTCCCACTCCGACTCCTCTGCTCCCTCCCATCTTTCTGCCTGGTCTTCCTCTCTTGCTCCTTGGCGAGCTGCTTCTCTTTAACAGCAGCTTGCCTCTCTCTCAATTCTTCCACCTTGGCTGTGTCTTCAGGGTAATCGTCCTCTTCATCGCTCACTTCATCCAGGTTCAGCAGAACACTTTCCACAGCTACTGTGTCACTTTTACCGGACGGTTGCTGGTTCTTCTCTTCTGCTGGAGTTGCGACATCTCCTTGGGACTGTTTTGCAGATGTATCTTCTTTCTTGATGTCTATTTTGGGTGATTTTTCCTTCTTCATCACACCAGACTCTTCTGCACAAGATGGATCATTTCCACTTTCTAAATCCTCTGGGAACACTTTTTGTGATGCTTCCAAAACAATGGCACTACAAAGTGGTGCCTCCTCTTTTGGACGAGTTTCATCTTTTGTCTTACTCGTTTCCTTCGTCCCTCCCTCGGACACCTCGGTGGTCAACTCTTCCTGAACTTGATCA